AAAAAGAAAAAGAAAAAGAAAAAAGAAAAAAAAAAAAAAAAACGACTGCATGAGAAACTTACATAACCCCCATTCCTTGGGTTCCTCCTGTCTCAATGGCAAGTTTTAAATCTAGCTTCCGAGCTCCATGGTAAACAAAGATATATCCCAGTACACCTGTTTTAATGTGTTTTAGTAACTCATCTTTCCTGTGTTGCTTGTAAGTAAAGTTTCTAGCGGAGCTTTCATATTAGGAATCTGGTGTACCAATGCTCAATCAAATGCGTTGGCGCAACTATCAATGTAGTTGTTGGTTCTTTTCTGCCATCGGCTGCCTTTCCGTCCACCATGTTTGCTATTGAGAGAAGTTAATGCGTATGTATTGAGAAAGGAAGTGTCTCAAGACTAACCGATTGCCTGTATTGTTTTACCAAAGCCCATCTCGTCACATAGGAAGCCGCCCTTGGGGGCCGCAGATGAGTTTTCACGGTCACGCTATGTTAGTTAGTATGTATGTTGAAGTATGATATGACGGAGAAACTACCATGAATCCAACCCCAAGAAGCTTTGATAATGTTAGCTAAGTTAATAACTATTGGACGTCGGGTTTTGGGGTATACCTGATAATGGAATAGACTTGTCATCATGTCACGATGCTTCCAGCCACCTTCATGGTCAGCCCGAGGAGGTATTGTGAACTTTATTATCGAGCCCATAATGGCCTTTTTATGTTGGGACATGCATTGCATGTCAGCATCATCGTCTGTTGGAATACTGGCCATGATTTCTCTCATTGCCTCCTCTTTATTCCCTGACGTAAACTTTGGTATTGCCTTCTTCTTGGTATTCCGCTTTGCATTCTCAATAATATTGGAAGTAAATAAGCTGTCAAAGTTGAGACTCGTAGGCCCTCTGTTTGTAGAATTTTTCTTGAACTTGGTAGACCCATTTGATTTGCGTCCTCGGGTATTATTGCCCTTTGGTCACCATTAGATTTGTCAAAATCATGAAAAGTGCGTTATTATTGATATTAAAATTACCTTCTTAGTCACCTTAGCTTTGTTATTGGTTTTCCTTGCTTGCTTTGGCGCTCCATTTTGACGAGACCGGTTCTTTGGTTTAGTCAACTCTTCCGACTTTTGAGTGTGTTCCCATACAAACACTGGTATACTCTCCTCGTTACTCGGGGAGGTACACCGATGTAATTCTTCCGCAGGAGCTGCATTATCTTCGGGATAAAAGAGGCCAAAATCATTTTCTTTACCAGGTTTCTGGTTCTCGCCTTCTTGGGCCTTCGAAATTCTGACATCCCCGGTCTCATTACCATTGATACAACCATGTTGTGTATTGTGCTCTTGTTCAATTAATGCTTCCCGCAGTTGTGCTCTCGAAATCCGCAAGCATTCTTTTTCTTTTGCCTTCTTGAACCGAATTTGAGCTTCTAGACTGGGGTTCTTTTCTGCTTCAAATGCTGCCTTTGCCTCCTCGAACCTATTTTTTCTTTATTTTCTTGAGCAAATCACAAGATTTGTTAATACGGTAAAACCATGGTTATACTTACTCCGAATATTCGTTTAGTTCGCTACTGTCCAATTCCTTTTCTAGCTCTACCCACATCATGCCGGAAAACTGAGGGGGAGGCATATCGCTAGAGCAATTTTTGGGATCTTCACCTTCTTCCCCTTTTTCTAGATTGCTATATTTTGTAACAGAATCATTAGATGCCCGCGTAAGAGACAAGACTTCCGAGTCCATGATATCCAATGGCTTTGAGATAGGAGATATGTTTCCCATCACTTGATTTCCTCCGGCTGCAAATGAAGCATCGGACTGGAAAAGAGGAGCTAAGGACTCAAAGTCTTCATTAAGGATAATGTCCTCGTTATAGACATTGTTTTCAGGAGTGTTGATATTCATGGCTGGGAAACGTTGAAAGCGGGGAGTTAGGGAGTGACTGGGAGTAGATGTGTAGTTATTCTCTCGGGGAGATAAGGGAGTAGAGGTCAGTTGTGTATAGTGTGAGAAGGCAAAAGTGACTATAAGATAGAGGCAATTTAATCTCCAAGAGATGTATAAAAGGCCCACTAGATGGAAAAATTGGGAGTGGGGAAAGAAATCGAGGTTGATTGATTGAGATGAATAAATGCTCACGTGTTTGAAGAATCAGAAGTGAGGCAAGTTATGAAAGTTGAAAAAAGAGAGAAATTAATCCAGAAATTCCAGTTTGAAAAGTATCTTCGGTGCCAATCTTCACAGTATTAATGTGAGAGATCAGTGAGATAATGGTGAATTGAATCGTAAATAGCCTGACATAAGGCTTCGCGATTAGCGGGATTGGTCGCAGGAAATATGTAATTATATATCTGGAAGAGCCGTTAAAGGCTAAGGTATTGGGTATTCAATATGGCAGTGAGGAAGGTATCAGCGTCCTATAAGCGAGATTGCCAGGTGTTTGTGATGGTTTGATAACAAGTTAAATTAGTTGAATTTTATGTTATCCTTCGGGAGCAGCCATGTGATGATTATGAGGTAAGAAGAAGAAGGAGAAGAAAGAAGAAGAAAATAAGAGAGAGGATGGAAGAACGCCCTTTTATACCTCTGTTTTAGCCATTAGCTAGCCAGGCACTAAATGGTGAGGTACCGCAAATATCGAGTTCTTTCATCGAAAGGGTGGCAGAAAATTCCAGTTGAGACTGGTACCTGTCAAGGGGAACGGATCCATTTGGTTGAAGGTTTAAACGGCGGTATCTAATACCTAATAATATATAGCAGAGGGTATCTGGCAGCTTGCGTTAAGCTAACCATTTGGGATGGATGCAATGAAAAATAGCTCTCTACCTCTAATATAATCTGCAAAATACCATTGTGAAGCGTTGATGTGTTGTGATATCTTGCATCCCCATGAACTAATAACTTTGTGGGTATGTGAAGCAATATACTTGTTCAGGAAGATTTGAACGTGGACTTAAGCTTATTTTACACGTGATCCAGCTGGGAACAACCTTAAAAAGGCTTAACTCGCAATCATATAACTACCAATCAGATATGCAATTTGAGATCAAAGTGGGTCTTTGTGTGTTATCAAGTTCCTGTTCGATGTTAGCGACGAGAAGCCGATTTTATTAACAATCCAAGAAGTCCTGATACCCCAGACCTCAGTTAAGAGCAGATTTTCATTAGGCCTTTATTAAAATCAGATGTTGAACTATCATTTTTTTCACTTCTTTCCATTCGACTCTGAAAAATGTTCCCTATAACTGTGATACATCGTCTTCTAACGAAGGCTATCCGACCATCATTGATACATTTCGGCCGGCTCGCCCAACTAATTATATGAAAGACTTCTCAAGGTGGCTATTAGCGGACGTAATAATATCAGAAATATCAGAATTATAAGAGCTAAACATAAAGCGAAGCCCAACAAGCTCATACCTAGAGTTAACGTATACTGTTTATATGTAATAGTGCATTAGAGCCATTTAATAGCTAATTTGGGCCCTTTCTCTCCTTCTCCCACCTAGGCCCCTAATGTCCCTTCCATAAAACCGATCTAGGCTGTATATCACGTAAGAGTAACGGACCTCTTCGGATTCTTCAGATTGTTTGGCAGTAGTGCTGTGAATTTGAAAACTTAAAGCACTTTAAGATTGTTGTCGTATTTACATAGGTCATGTTAATTAGAAGTTGGTATAGGCCGGGAGTAGTCAGCGAGAATAAAGAGTGAAAAGCTGGATATTCTTTCTAGTTGATCATGAGGGGGACTTTGATGTTCCGAGTCCCACTAACAGTAGTACTGTTATGCGGTTAGGTATCTGGGGTATTAGGGAACTTGGAACAGTGGATATAATCCACTAGTGTATTCGGGCAGAGGAATGGGAATTGTTATCATCGAAAATGCCCTCTCCGTAATTACTCCGATTAGTGTCCGTTGAGCCTCGATATTTTGCTTTTAAGCTCTGCGAAAATGGAGCCTGAGCACAGCACAAGTGCTTAAGGCGAGAGTGAGAGTATAACCGCCATGACTGTCCTGATAATATCGGGGGAAAGAAAATTCGAAATAGCTAATGGTAGCTTGTTTAAGTAGTCGCCTAACAAGAAGATGATGTGATACAAGTACTGAGGGGAAAATGGATGCTGCTCTTAATTGCCCTGTTAGCCAGAGAGCCAGAGCGAGTGCAGCTGATGATTCATAATTTGCCATAACACGACTGTGGCCGGAAAATATGCAGAGTCCCCAGCTGCAGGGTGTTTCTTGCCAGGGCTGGGGATGAAATGATCTCATCGAGCATGAGCAAGGAGGACAGCTAACTATTTTCCAACCAGAAGCTTATCCTGCGCAGCAAAAAAGCACGCGCGCTAAACCACATACGGGCTCGAGCGCCGGCCAAACAACCAATCAGCGCCGCGCAAGTGCTCGCTGACGTTCCGAGACTCGTCCGAAAGCAGCTAGCGTGAGCCATCCAGCCAATCGGTAAGAGCTTACTCACTGAACTAAACCGTATCCGGCTAGCGCTGCGGCTCCGCTGGACAAAGCAGGAAGACGTCCTTTTAAGGTTGTTTCCTCACCGCCTCTTGGCCAGCCCGCGGGTCTTCCAACTTGGCTCAAAGCGTCGAAAGCGTCGCTTCTGCGAACGACACCGGATTTCCGCCCTGTTCCCCTCCATGTCCATCGCACAAAACACTTCTCCTGCTGTCTGACTGATATCAAGAGGGAGACAGGCGTTTCGGGCTCGCTTTTCTGAAGAGCTACTAGGGTACTCGGGGGTCTCTTTCCTCTTGTTTGTTTGCTGAAGGGTGAGGCCACCTGCGTCCAGCCGACGTAACGTCAACCCCAATCCCATCGTTTACCTGCGTCTCGCTTGAGTGACTGGCATTGCCGATACTTCGAACTTGAAGCCATGAATTTTCGTGTGAGGCAGCCTTATAGAACCCTTCTTCGTTTCGTCCTCTTTGCCGCCTACTAGAGGAGGACATAGCCGTCTCGACCCCCGTTGAGAGTCGCTATCAACATATCAACAAACCAGCCTACGAAGATGTTGGGCAGGCTGCTTAATACCGCTGCCGCAACACTAAACCCTGCGTCATATGCCAACCGCAACTCGAACCAGCTCGAGTCTGTGACCGAAGAGGAACACACCTCAGGACTCCTCTTCCCAGACGTGAGCCTTCTTCAGCGATCTAGGACTCATGCTTACCCGTTGCAGACCAGCTCTGTTTCACCTAGCCTATTCTCAGCTGGTAGCTTTGATGATAATGGTGGCTTGGAACTTGATTCTACGAAGGACCTTAGAGTGATTATTGCCCAAAATGCCATAGGGGACCGTGACGATCCGTGCATTCTTCTCGATACTCAGGCACCTCCAAAGACTGAAAAGCCCACACGACCGTCTCTAGACCGTATTTCTCCCGAAAAGCCACGGTCACGACACACCCGCACCTCGACGCTCCCTCGGAATGGTGGGCGGACTTCTCATCATGCACCGCGTGCCTCGGTATCCGAGCTACCTCCACTGTCGAGTTTCTCTAACCAAGATGCCGCGGCTAATAGTGCCTTTTTCCGTGCACGGAATCGGAGGTCCACGTTCTCTAACTCGGCGGGAGATGATGATCAGCAGCATGGGCGTCTATCTGGGGACTCTAATGAACTTGGATTATTGAATTGCATATTTGGAAGCAGCGCCTTTAGCTATCGTGGCCCTTCGACCAAAATGCATATCGTCCCAGCGGACGAGAAGAAACCCGCAGAGGATTCCAACGCTGCTCTTTCTGACCCCTACCGGCGCACCCTTCGTCGTGCGGATACGTTTAGTGGCTCCCCGAGGAGTGCCAGCCAGACTCGTGAACGATTCAGCAGTGATGCCTCTAGATCCTCTTCTGCATCTTTTTCTTCAAGCGTGACAGTATTGGTGACAAGAATGTTCAGTGTCAACTTACCAGAATCGTACGGCATGCCAGCTGACACTTCGATGCCTAACTCAACAACTCCATCGTCGCCTTACACCCCGGAATTCAAATTTTCTCCTCGTGCCAAGTCTAAAAAGATCAAAGAGAAGAAGACTCCAATGTATGCTGTTGCAATAACAGTCCGGCTCCCCATAACAGCAAAGAATAGCGCTCGTCAGCAACGAAATCCTTATCTCCAGGATTCAGCCAAACCTTGCGGTGGAATGTCGGTGTCACTCGACTCTCATCCAAAATGGTCTTTGTTCGACGAGGCATCCGTATCGACTACTGGGTCGAGCATAGATGACAGGATCGATTTACTCGTCGACTATTGGGATGTCATTGCACGAACATTATCACGTCTCGAGAAGCTTGCAAGCAAAGAGATTCTGGAACTTTTAAAACAAACTGTTCAGCAGACAACGAATCTGCCGAAGCCAGCAAAAGGGCCAAATATGCAGAGAACTAACCAAACAATTGTACAACTCATACCTAACTGTCTGGCTCAAAACAAATTACTCCGCGATGAGGCTCTCCATGCGACTTTCAGGGTCTGCATGGCTCTTAGGATACCTCCTGTTGTCTCGGGTCAAAGCCGCTGGGGTGTCTGGAGGGAAGAGGCCCGGTGGATTGCCCGGAGCTTAAGTGAGAAGGAGCACAATTTTTTCTTCTTAGTCCTCATAACCGCCTTTCTCGGTAACCACACAGAATGGCTCAGCCTCCTTGGCCCTGACTGGTATCGACGTCGTCACTTTCTTCAACAACGGGCTCAACAAGACAGTGAATTGAGCATCTGCAATAGAACAGTAATCATTTCAACTGATAAAATGGCTGCAAGGCGCTTGATATTTGTGCTCTCCGCGTTCCTACCACCTCACCAACGTACGGATCCACTGGCCTCACCTTTACGACCAAGCACGTCAACATCCTTCCGCCAAACATCTCAAAGTCCTCCAAATCCAACCATATTTCGACAAGAATCGCTGCGCCGAACTATAAACCGTCGTGCTCGAACACGTCAGTTCCCTCACGAGCGTGGTGGAGGCAAACGATCTGCTAGTGTGTCTTCCAATGAGACGTCTAACATAGTACCTGATGAGCTGGAGTTTAGCAAATCCCCCATAAACCAAGCACGACGTGGCTCTGATGCCCGATCTATGAGAACTTCAAGTTTATCTATCCCACCCGGAGGCGTTGCTGGACCAATGAAAAGTGGCACGGCATCGGCAGCAACAGCTGCACCAGGCACCGCAACTCCAGTCCCACACTTTGCTTCTCAGCCAAGGAAACAATATAGTGCCCGCCATGAATCGCAAGATTGCAAAGGATCTGCTTCTGCAAACTTACTATTAAATTTGCAAAAAAGCGAGATATCGGCCAACGTTGACCAGCATCAGAGTAAATGGGGGAACATTCTTTCTGGATTTTGGAACTCTCGGGACGATGCGCCAGCAAATGGAGGTGCATCCAGACCTCGCAGAGCATCAACACAAGTGATTGAAACTAAACGTCAGCCACCTGCCATGTCAGCCAAAGTAAAAGAAAATGGAAGTGCGACTCTGGACAATGTATCCGCGACAACTAGTGATACGATATCCATACCTACTTCTCTACCAGCGCAAACGGATAGCAAAGAAGATGCCTCTACTCTGGAGAGTCGGCAACCCACATCCCCTGTCAAACTTTGTGTAAAGCCGGTTGAAGGCATTGTTGATGTTGAGGTCCCGTTGCCTGGATTCATGTCTTTGTCATCGTCAAATGATTCCACGTTAACGTCACCCAAAAAGACCCGAACATCAATCACAAGTATTGATTGTGATGGCTCTTTCCACAGTACCAGTCCATGGTCTTATAATAATTACAAAGACTGGGATGGCCCTGGCGTCAACGTCGCCGGTTGGCTCAAATATTATCATGAAGATTTTGCTCTCCAAGCTGTGCACCCATACCCCGACCTTGAATCTGCCATCAAACGCTCCATGTCTGCTGAGCGTACTCCCAACCTTGCGAATTTTGGGCAACCTTCATATTTTGATGGTGGGTCCGAACGATGGGTTGATGTCTGCTCCACCCTTGTAGCAGATACGAGGACATTCACTGTCAAACGAATTCGTTTGCGCCGCAAGATAGCAACTGTTGACGATCGAACCACAGAGTATTCGCATACGCCTTCTCCCCAGTTCTCTTATCAACCGTTCAGCACTCAAGCCGACAGCTCAGATACTACGCCGACATCTACTCTGCGAAAATCTCAACCATGTATCGTGGAGGAAGAATTCATTGAAGAGCCAGTAATGGACCTAGATGCTACTCTCGTTGACGCTGTTGAACGGGTTCTCGCCTGCTCCGGACCTACATCTGCTATCCATTCTCGTGCTCCTTCCCCAAGTCGGCTTCGTAAAGGGCGTATAAGCGTATTGCCTACGGAAGATAGCAGGAGATACAACGATACCAACAGCCGGCCGGATGTTCCTTCTGTTGAGATTCCACGAAATGAATGTCGCCGTATGGTACTTGGTGCGCTGGATGAGGTGGTACGCAGCGTTGCGGCTGAACACCGCCAAGATGAAACAAATGTTGGCCCTGACACACATGCAGGGTTCTCCAAGCATAACCACAAGAAATTAAGTGGTATTACCGATAACACTCTAAGAGAAGGTATACGCAAGTGGCTTCAGGATATTGATGAGACTTGCTGAGCTGTCACCATCGAATACCCTGTCTCTGCAGCGGTCATCATCTCGAGGAGCTTTGCTTTCCTCTTGCCATCGAATTTGTGTGTTCTCGCGTTCCCGAACGTGATGCTTTCATATGTTGTTTTTCTTTTTCTTTCCATTTTTTTTTTCTTTACCTTTTCCTTTTTTTTTTTTCCCTGACTTTTCTCCTTCTACATGCATTGCATTTTCAATCTGGGGTTTACAGCTTCTGCTTTTTTATTTTTGTTATTTCTTTCTGTTGATAGCTTTTCGCTCCAACCCTTGATACCCTGGGATCTGCATATGCGTCTTTTTAATCTCTCTTTTACCGGGTTGCTGGTTGCTATCTCGGGATTATACCCTACTCTGGCCATTCCGTTATTCTTTAATCGTTTTCCCGTGCTTAATCGTGCTTTGAACGGCTATTCAAAGTCTACATCACCGCATGCGCAGATATGCCTCTGGCGTTGGGGACTTTATCCTTTAACTATTCTCAACATCAGCTCTGTAAGCGAGGAATATTGCTCAAGAGAGGGCTGTTTGATGCATCTTAAATGGTTTGCTTTGCTTATTTATTCAGCGTCGTTTTTATACTCTCGTTTCATATTATGCCCATGTCTCCATTGTTAGTATTAACTAATGGAGTCTTTAGAGCCCAGCTTCACTCTACGACAAGCAATTTACCTTGCATCAACTACTGCTGGTATTTTCCTGGTTATAGTATCAGCTGTTAGTTATTTCAAGGCTATTCCCATCCAGTTTCACCAAGGCATCATTAGATATTCCCAGAGTCCTTCCCTCAACCTGTTTGTTGATTGTTAGTCCTAACTGTTCATCCAGAATTTTAGCATTTTATAGGAAATATTGACTCAATGAAAGTGGAAGTGTATTTCCATAGATTCTAAATTACTGCAGCATACTGTAGCTATTGTTGGTTTGTGTAAAATTCACTTCATGATGATACTTGTGAAGTTCTGAAGGAATAAGAAATGGGTATAATACATGAAGCGGAAGAAAACCATGGGCGGGGATAGTGCATACATATACGGTTTCATATACGGAGTAAACGTATGACAAATAATGTGTTGTGAGATGGCCAGCACTAGGATAGCATGTAACATAGCCACAAGGCGAATACACAGGATATACCATGTTATAGTTGAGTTGTTCCTGGAGAATCATGCGCTGGGCCATACCGGGGCGTATGCTGTACTACAACGGAATCTATGGATGCTGATCGCTGAGGCATTTTTCCTGCAGAGCTGGAGGTTGAATGGCGTACTACACTGTCGGGTAGCACCAAGGACGGAATCAGCGAGTCCGAAGTCATCGTATTTGTTGGGCTGGCCTTTGTAGAGACCGGTTGTACATGGGCAGCAGCAGTAGCAAAGAATGCATCAAGCTTCTCCTTATCATTACAAAATGCTTGTAATTTGTCCTTTAGGTCTGCTGCTGTCTGGTACACGTTAATCGATTCTGGTTGTTGCTGTGTCTGTGGTGAGACGGAGGGCGAGAAGCCGTTAAGTCCGGAACTGCGTACGACTGGAGAGAGGTGAGGCGAGCCACGGTCATAAAGCGCGGAATCAACTATCGTAGATGCACGAGGTCGGAAATATTCGCCTCTCTCGAATTTATTGGATTCTTTAATCATGACTGAAGGGTGATATGTGTTGAACAATCTGTTGGTTAAGAGGAGGAAATTCCCTTCATCAGTGATCTGAGCAAGAATTGCGCCCGACCTATGGACATATTGAGGGAATCGATAATCTGGCTTGCCCCATGAGTAAGATACCTCAACATCGGTTGGAAATGCGCTGAAAGGTTCGAAATCAAGAATGAAATCGAACTTTTTGAGGATGGCTTTATGATAAAAGTGGCGATCCGGGGTGGACTGGGACGTAAAAGAAGTGGAGGTAAAGAGGTTTCCGGATGGAGGGTCTGGTGGTTGATGTTTCAGCTTGATTGGGAACGGACGCCTAAAGACCTGTGATTCAACAATTGACGAGGCCTCGGAAAGTGGTAGTTCAACCAACTTTAGTCCGTATTTCTCTGCTAATCCGGCCCAAGATACAACAGCGTCTTCAACTAGCTTGGGGGTTGCGTTCATCCAGCTTAGTTCAATATGGAAGCAGTTTTCGGGGTTATGGATCCTGTCATAGTGAAGGTCGATTATTTCGGGTCGATCTGACCGTTTACGAGGATCTAAGTCGTATTTCATGCTCTTTGCCAGCCATATAGCGACCTTGCCCCGGCCGGACGACCTTGGTGGTGGGGGAAGAGGTTCATTTCTACCACCACCGTCATCAGAGCTCTTTTCAGACCTTGAACGGAAGCTAGAAGGCGAATCCCTAACCCCATCTTTCTCCATTGGCGTGCCAGGGGTTGATTTGTCTCCTTTAAGGCTCTGAAACCAGCCGCCTTTAGACTCCGGCCTAGATATTCGATACTCGTCCGTTATTTGATAGAAATAATTGCCATCTCTGAAATTGTGCCTTCGCTGTACGTGATGGAAGAGGCCATGCTTCATGAGTTCATTCCCAAACTGAACTGCTTCATCACGTGTGTCAATATCGCTGAAATTCTTTATCAGCCAAGTAGTCAATTCCATTCCAACAAAACAATTGTAATGGAGACGCCAATGCCATCTCCTATCCATCATTCGTACTCCTTTCTCGGACTGCATTGCTTGGGCAATTGAGGATAAGGATACGGACGATTTTTGGAGCAATTCTGACTCTGGTAGAAGCTGCGCGGGTGGGTTATCAAGTCCAGGATCTTCAAGCAAAAGCCTATCAAGCTCTGTTGCAACAACCACAGAAGGATCGCAAGTTTGATACAAAATATTCAATGGATTTTGATCTTTCTTTTTGGAACTAGTGGATTGGAACTTCTTTTCCTCTGGTGGGGTATATTTGTATCGTTGCCAAACTTGGGTTAATTGGTAGATACCCATCAAGTGCCGTTCTTCTTCATTATCTTCATTCAAGGAAGAATTACTGCGCCGGGAATGCGTTGACATGTGAGTTGGGATTAGAACGAAACGTGTACGCCAGTGTTTAAGTTGGCGTAAAGAGTCAGCTAAGTGATCTCGATGGCCCGCAAGGAATGAATCTGCAAAATTCCAATTATATTCGAGTTGGGACAGCGCCAAGCGGATGCAACTTTTTCGATACTGTGTTCCCTGAATTGTCTTGACTGCAGGTCGATAGGCAACTTCTAGCTCCTTAGCATCCTGTAAATAGCCGTTGAGAGGCTTACGTGTGAATTGAGTCACTTCAATTTCACCTCCGCCAACGCATACCAAGCGGTGAATGATCCCTCCCATTGACATGTAGATGGTCACATTATCTTTCGACAAGGCACTAAGATCGAAAATAGTGTCTCCAAACGTGAGGTCGTCTCGCTGATTTCGGAGGACTAGTTGAAATCCATGGGATAACCGTAGGGAAATCATTTCTCGTAGTAACGCATCCCGGGTTTTGGGACTTTCAGACACATCCGAGTCTTCATCTTGATAAACAGTATAAGGCTTTTGCAAGTAATTCGTTTCTAATTCCTCTTCTGTTGGGAAATCTTCGGTGGTCAAAGGTAGAGCAGCCGGGGATTTCAGGCTCTTCCAGTTCACCGAGGAGGTAGTCGGCTTGCGGGGGTAAACGTGATGCCAGCGTCCAAACCAGCTCTCTCTTGTAGGAAGGTGTTTAGGGGGGTTCCATGGCTTAACATGTTTTATCCAGGGACTTAATGCTTTTTCAGGAGAGGGGAAGGCGGGTCCAGCTCCGGATATACTGTTGTTCGCCATGTCTAGCCTGCGGCCAGTGCGTTTTAAGCCAGCGGCATGGCTTTCATATAAACTTCCCGGTTCATGCCTCAATTCTGGTACATGGGCAGTAAATGAACCGTCCAGAGATGCCGCAGCTACGCTGGGCTCTTCAGGATTATGGCTGACTGCCGTTCTAATCGATATAGGCCGCGAAGGAAGCAGCTCTGAACGGCTACCTTCGTCTCCATGCTGTGCCTGTGGTTCCGCGATAGCTGGGGTGAGAGAGCTGGGTGACTGAGGATGGTCTTCTGGCTTGGGATCGTATATATTTTCATCAGGGGTTTTTCCACTTGCTGTTGGTAAAGCTTTTGCATACTCGGCTTTCACTTGGGTGCTTGCAGTAGCAGTTGGAGGTGCGCGACCAAAACCTAGCAATGCAAAGCTAATCGATCGGGTACTACGTGAAGTCGATGGTTTCGAGGTATCCTTAAGATTAGACTTATTATTGGACTTTGATGCTGTGGGAAGCGTGGGTAACCCTTTTGCCAAATTTGTACCCGAGACGGTAGATATTGGAGATATGGCAGCAGGGCGGGCAGGGACTAGCGTAGTTGAGCTTTTTTGACGAACAGGAGTCCGAGGTTGTTGTTGATGGGCTCGCCTAGAGGAGAGAGAGAGGTTTGAAAGGCTAGGTGATTTCGGTTTATGATGCCGTTTAGATGGTCGTTTCTTAGATCGTACATGGAATGCCAACTCGTCATACGAATCCATCCATTCAGATATATTTGTCCGTTTCTTTTCCTGAGAGGACATAATTAACTTCTTAGAGTCTTTAAAACTGTACATGAAGGATCCGGGTTGTCCTCTATCACGGGTTTGAGGTTTGTGCGACGAAGTATGTGAGGCCAGATTGGAGGAAGAGTTCAGGGTGCCGAGTTCAGAGCTGCGTGGGCGCACGGCTGTTTCGTCTATGACTGAATGCCCAACATGGAGGTTTGGTATAGAAATGTTCGACTGTTCGCTTTCCATTACCCCCATCATCTGTATCTCGTACATTCGCACTTTGGGCTGGAATAACTTCGGCTGGGGCGCAACTGTGCCGAAAGCTGGAGGCGTGACGTTGTTTTTTTTCCATTTTTTGTCTTGATAATTGTGAGCACCCCAGAAGGAGATGTCAATCCAATATGGAATACCATATCCCCATTCTTCAGGGTTAAGACTTGTCTTTACAGCAGAACTTGACTGGGTTGCCCGTGAGAGCGTGTCGGAAAGATGGGTAGGTTTTGGGGTAGGAGGCCAGGCCGCAATTGTAGTCTTAGTGGACGTTGGCGATGCAACCTCAGAAGGCCCAACAATGGAGGCTGTGTCACTATTTATGGTGGAAACTGACGAGTGGGAAGAGCGTCTTTTAGGTATCTTATACTTGAATAGAGGTACCGAATGTAACGGCATAGGACTCAGACATATGAGATCAATGCCAATTGAACGGCTTCCCAGGACATCCGAAGTCAAGGCAAGAGTATCAAATCCCACTTCAAAGGTGCCAGATCCAGGAGTAATCATAACAATTGACGTTCCCGTCCTAACGAGGTCACGGCCTACATATTCAAAATCAAGGTAGGATGAAGCAATATTAATAGCTTCTAAGATATTGCCCTTTATTGCTGATGTGAGGTGGCCTGCAATTGTAGGCGAGGTACCGGCAGTAGCAATTGGTGGAGAGCCCTCAAGTTCGGAAACCTCGTCCCCTGATGTTTGAGGTGACGGAATCAAGATATCACGAAGGAAAGTTCTAAATTCCCTCTTTAGTTCATCCAAGATAGCTGTCCACCTGCCACTAGGCATATCGTTTACAACAACTCGATAGAAATCCTGTACACTAGCTCCAGCCTCACCCGTTGTATTTGGGTTAAGAGAGCTGCTGCTGAGATTCATCGGTATAAACTCATCAGAAGCAGGAATGTTATGGTCATACTGAACTCTGGTAAACATGACGATGGTAACCAGATGATGCGCATCGATAGTAGCCCAACGTTTGAAAAGTTCAGGTAGTAGACCGTCGACAACCCGACTAAACAGGATATCACCAGTACCTTCAGTGTTGAAGTCCCACATTTCCTTGGACATCTGTATGAATAGGACATATCTAGCCGATTCGCTCCTAAATATCGGGATGGTGCGAGGGGTAAAGTACCCCGCCATCACTTTTCGACCATCCTGAAAGATAGACTTGACTGTTGCTTTTACCGTGTTCATGAAAACAATCTTCTGTCCCTTGTAGAGAGGCCGGTCCAGTAACTCAGACATGGCCATCCTCCACATATCCGCGCGTAGTAGGAACTGATCGCGAAACACTAGCTCCACATGTGTAGCTGAGCATTGCGACCGTGGCTTCACAGTCAATAGAACCCGGGATCGTTTCTTGAATCCAAACCGGTTGGCAACCTGATTTGAGACTGATATCTGAAGGTTGGGATGTCTGTTTAAGATTTCTGGTTGCATATGCTTCACAATAAACAGGAAATTGCCCACGGCATGAGATGAGTTTGGCAATGCACCATCTCCACGGCATGAATCCCTATGACTAGGCAGAGGGCTATAACGGCCACCGGTACCGGTACCTCCCCCACTCTGACCCCGAGTTGGGTTGGCTCCGGGCTCCTCTTGCTGAGAATTGGTAATATTGGTAGACTCTCCCTCCAGCTGGGAGTCCGAGGGGGGTTCCCCATAAAGCGCAGACAGCTCGATGAGATCTCCTACTTTGACAGCCCAGTCTCCGAGGGCCTGTCGATTGAATAAAACGTCTTCCCGGGAGAAGTTTTCATCATGAACAGAGAGGAGACAAGCTCTGTAACTGGAACTTGCGGCTGAGCTCTGGGAGGGAGCGGTACTGGCAGACTTGGGTCGCGGCTCATGAGTCGACCCTGACGCCGACCGGATCGACCCAGTCTCAACGTTGCCTTGCTTCAGGTCTCTTGAATGCATGCCTTTGGACAGTTCGGATAGCACCATGGCTTCTCAAGTGTCAACCCATCCTCTAGTTGTGGCTGTGTGGTGGTATATCAGACTGGTATCCGTCAGGTCTAAGATCTTGTTATTATCGACGCTCTATCTCAGCCAGCATGGACAGAGCATCCGAAGGGCAATAGAATATCCCGTTGTCCATCTCCCATCCCTCGTTCTTTAAAATGTATCTCTCCCTTGGTCGCGGCGATGAAGTTGTGGTTTCGACAAGGGCGAAAAAAAGCCATATCACGTGACATCGCCGAAGAAGCCGAGACGATGAAACAAGAACCTGGAAAAACGCAGAAGAAAAGAAGCAAAAAAAGTCGAAAGGACGAGCAGAAGGAAAAGGGAGAGTATTCAGCCTGAGCGGGGAACGGCCTCTGTCGGGCATGGTATTCTAGGGCGAACGCTGCTGCTGTTGGCGCTGCCCCTTTCTCCATATCTATACTCCGTACATATCACACTGCGCTAGAGTGTTTGGGAGGCAACCCCCGAGTTCTCCACCCCCGTCTTACATATAATTTTATCAACACCTCGATCAGCGACAGGGACGAAAAGACGGCAGAAGAAGGCGACAAAAACCCCCATCATCTCTCACTTCTCCCTCCTCTCCAGCATGCTGTAGAAAGACATCAGCTATTCCCTTCCGTTCGTTTGCTCTCTGTCAGCTCCTCCCCGTCAAACCTCCCGCGCCGTTCTGCCCCGGACCACCAACACTAAGTCGTCACTTTTTCGCCTCCTGAGTCCTTGACCCCGTCTCTCTGCTGCATTACGTACCGGGACACTCTGGAATTCAAGTGTACTACTCCGTGACCTGGAGTGATCGAGGAGGATGGCATTTGTGAACGAGGCAGAGAAGGGAACGAGAGCCGACAGTGCACTGAATGAATCGAGCGTTCCCACCACGCGACCAGAAGCGGACGATTTTGCCCATGGAACCAGCATCCAGACCTCAGCTGTCGCTTCGCAAGAGAATATGCGTATGCCCGAGGGCGAGCAGGGACAGGCTGTCCAGGGTACTGTTGTGGACGCGAAGGAGGCAGAGCCGCAGCCATCACCCCAACAGTTAAGCCCTGGGCATGAACAACAAAATCAGCAGCCAGATTCGAAACCGGAGGCTGGTGGGCCTACATCGATATCACCAGAGGAGGCTGGCCAGTCGAGCATCGGGGCGTCCGTAGAGGGCCAGCCTTCAGTATCTTTATCCCAATCTACGTCTTCAAACGATGGACCTACTTTACTCCTCAATATCCTGCTTACCTCCGGCGGTAAGCATCCTTTTAAACTGGATGGCAAATATCTACGGAAACGAGAGGTTAATGTTGCTGATAACGACCCGTTCTCCATGTCTGTATATACATTAAAAGAATTAATATGGAGGGAATGGAGGTCAGGTATGTATCAAACACCTTTTTCGCCTATTTCTATTTTTTTGTTTTAACTTATTTTATACCCTCTTCTATACAAATGTTCGGTTGCTGATGTTTCATATCATCCATAGACTGGGAACCTCGTCCATCCTCTCCGGCAGCTATCCGGCTTATATCATTTGGAAAGCTGTTGGATGACAAGTCGCCACTCTCTGGTACGCCTTCTCCGAGTTGAATCCTCTATATCTACGTCCTGGGAATATCAGGAATTCTAACTTTGTATACAGAATGCAGATTCAACCGAGAAGGCCCAAATGTGGTCCATATGACCATCAAGCCACAAGAGATTGTTGACGAAGAAGATGCAAAAGCCGCCAAAAGCACCCAGAGCCGGGAGCATGAAGAGGGAGAAAGAAGCCCCGGCTGCCGCTGTGCTATATTATAATTGGCTCTTACTCTTTTATTTTATAAAAGCTCTCATTTCCCACATATCTAACCTGAGGCCGAGTGATTTTGGGGGAGATGTTTCCGTCTTAATGCCATAACTGCGCAGGCACCGCATACACTCCTTTTCCTCATGCTCTTACACCCCTACACTCGTCTTAACCCGGAGTTCTTTCGACCTACCGCCAATACTGACTTTGTCCTTCTCGCCCGTTTCCGCTATTTGTCTCTTCTGTTTTTTTTTGGTGGTGCAACCTGGAGTTTGTATAAGTCGTCATACACTTGCTCTGCCTTACTTTTCTTTCTATCTGCCATTTTCCTTCCGGTTTCCTCAACTCTTCTAACCAGTTTGAAATACTCCTTTTTTTTTTTTTCCATTTTTGCTTTGTGCCTTGATTTCCCTTCCAGTTCCCTGCTTGATGATATATGTACAGCGAATTGATGGTCGGAATAGGCGATTGAATCGGAGGTCTGTATTTGTCCCCTTCACTGCTTGCATTTAATTCGATTTGATACACTGTTACTTGTCACTCCCTTATCCGGCCCTACTCAATGCCCTATGTAACAACTTATCCCTTGCCTGCCTGTTAATCTCGCCAAGTCGCCACTTTTAACGCTCCTTCATGCGCCTGCATAATACCATGATTCGAAAAGCAACGAATAGAGGTAGGATATGCTTATGACGCAATACCACGTTTGCCCGCTTTGATTTTAGGTGAAGTTCTATATGGATGTTGCCGAACCTTGTACAGCCTACGCTCTTCTACTTCGCTGAGTTGGTTTCATACTGTTTTCATTCATTAGGCTATAGAGACGTCCTTGCAATGTGGATGGAATAAACAAGTTTCCCGTAAATACTTCGCCTGACTTTAACATAGCGTCCAGACTGGAGTTAGAATACGGATTTGTATTGTCTTGAATACTCAAATTGTATTCATCTCGCAAATCGATGGACATGATATTGAAAAACAAATCCACTTCTCTATGATAAACGAAGGCATTAGTTCATCTTCAACCTATGCTCCAGCTCGTCATGGAAGCTAGGAGGCTCGCGAAGCTCATCTCCTAAAAACGGACATTAGCGGCTCTTCTTTGAGAGTTGTCACATAGCATTTCATCCTTGATATACGTACCAGGATACACGTCTTCCCAAGTAACTTCCGTCTCCCGTCCTCCTAGGGCCAAAATATCCTCATGTATACTTCCATGCATATTCCCACCTAGGACTGCTGGCTTCCACTGACTATCACGAACAATCTTCATCTCCATACCTCGTCGTACTGGCTCCGCCATGCCATGAATCCGCCGAATAGACTCCATTTTCATAGCATCTTGTGTTTGGCGCCAATTCAACAACCGGGCTTCAAGGGGGTGTGTTGAGTTGGTTTTCTGCAGGCCGGGCGTCTCTGGGGCTGCCGTGAGCGAGGAGCGGAGAGTATCTGGAAGACCTGGGGCAGATGGAGCGCCATTGCGGAGGTGAGGTTGTGGGGTCTTCTTGGAGGTATTGGAGGTTTCTGAGGAGTAGTTGGTTTGAGGAGTGATGCGAAGAGACTGCCCAAAGCGTTAGTAACAGTAAAATTTCTTCTATGGCACCTCCGATGCTCTGTAAGGTGCTTGTCGAAAACTGCGTCTATGAGAGTACTTTACCATGGCTCGCAGTGTTATGGAAACCACTTCCAAGGATTCCCGTGAAAACCGTCTGTACGGAAATATAACTAGCTGCTCCTCAGATGCAGGAGAAGAAGTGTAGGCTCAGAGAATGCAGTGCGGAGGAGTCGTTGATATAGTTGATGTAGGTGAGAAGCAAGCAAGCTCCGCCAGGCACGAGTCAATAACGTAAAGCTTATCCGGCGACCCGCAGAGACCAACTTGGCACTTCGTCCCATATGCGTCACGTGATTGAGTATAAAAAAATAGAGATTCTACGAAAAGAATACCAGCAAGAACTTCCAGTTTACTCGCAACCGGAGAAAAAGAAGCAGACAGATGACAATGGCACTATCTCCCTCACTTCTCACGATGCGGTTCTTCCGCCATATAATTCAGCGGCAATTCCCTTCGACCACGCCAAAGCCGCACTGCACCCTTTCCGCGCTGTCTTCTCAATGCCTCCTCCGATCCTCTGCTCTGAATGCGTTCCATAAGAGCTTCTCCACCACTTCACAGCTACAAGCTACGCTGAATCAAGTACGACGTGGCTGCCGATCTGGCCAAAAAGCACGAAAGAAGCGATCTCCGGCTCTTGTAAACCGGCCACAGCTGAAAGGAGTGTGCTTGAAAACACAAGTTGAAAAACCAAAGAAGCCCAATTCCGGAGAAAGAAAGACTGCGAGGGTTAAGCTTACCAGTGGGAAGGTTATTACGGCTTATATTCCTGGTGAAGGTAGGACCTTCGGAGCCAAACTCGTTTGTGATGAACTGATGGTTTAATACTTCGGACGTTTCTAGGTCACAACATCCAACAACACAGCGTGGTTTTGGTGCGAGGAGGACGACTTCAGGATTGTCCTGGTGTGAAATATCGTCTTGTTCGTGGAGCAATGGATTTAGTAAGTTTCCGCTTGTAGGGTGTTTGCCGGAAGATATGAGATTGGCGCTAACTATTGCTATAGAATGGTGTTGGAAACCGACTGACCAGTCGGTCGAAGTATGGAACGAAGAAGCCAAAAGCCTCCACATAATCTGGAATGTAGAACAGCAGAAGGCTAAGATGTGGACAGTTTTTACTATTATTAATTGACGAGGAGTAAGTCGAGATTGGGGCTGTATAAATACCATATGGGTCATTTCTTACAACTATTACTACGCAACTATCTTCTATTCCACACGGTGCACTGTTATAAATATTGTATATTATCATCAAGCAGGTGACACGCTGAGAAAATGGTTTTAAGGAGTTTCTTTAATACACAGGGTGAAATACAAGCCAATACCATCAAAATCTCAAATAATGCAATCGTGGAAACAGGAGCCTAGCAAATCACAACCAAGGCCTATATACAGATAGCAAGAATAGGAACGTATCCCGAAAGTGTTTGGTAAAATGGTCATGATAATAGGGTGGGAAGAACAAAGCTCATGACGCTGAGATGTGCCCCCCCTTTTTTTCCGCTCTTTTTTCCTCTTTGGCATAAAACGTGCTGTGTAACTCTAAAGTAGCCATTTTTGTCCTCAGAGTAAGGGAAGCCTAGGCATTTGGAAGCGTGATATCGTATAAAAGGAAATAGGTGATGAGATGGAGAAATATGGTTGAGTAATGAGCCAACTCGGTCATCAGAAGTGAGCAATTTGCGACAAGGGTTATAGACGAGCGGTTTAATGACTTTCGGCTTCCCAACCGGCTGGTTTACTCATCTTGTTTATGTCAAAGAAACGAGATGTACCTTTTCACGTTAGATATTTATTGAGATATGGAGTGAAAGGGTGATGAGAACAAAACAGAAAACTCACATGAATACGATTTCCAGTCAAAGTTGTCACCTGGGTTGCAATGACATTTCAAATCTAGTCTTGTCTGTTCTCCGGTAGGGCAGTGGACGAATGGAACATGCCTGTATGCAATTTCATTGAAGAAGTGTACCTCATCCTTGTTTAGCATCAGGGAGACCGCAATGCTATGAACAGGGGCATCGCCCCATCTTTCATAGAAAAAGCCACCATACTGATCCAGGAGGTTGAAGAAGTCAAGGTATTTTTGAGAACGGAAGAAGTTCAAATCACCGACTTCAAAGTTAGACCACTTCAGACATAATAGATTAGCATGGAGCTGCTAAGTTACAACATTTCTTCAGGTGCCTGTAACTTACGAAATGGCAATTGTTATATGTTTTACCACCGTCAGCGCTAATGAACTCGAGGTTATTATCTTTTGCAATATGCTCTGGGTACTGTTCGATGAATTTCCTGGTACTCTTCCATAGAGTCTCAATGGTGCCGGGGTACTCGGGCAGACTGATAACGAAGCTGTACTTCTTGTTGTTGTCTTTCATGAACTTGAATGGGTCAATGTGGATGTCACAGAAGTATTCGATACTGGGTTCCACACGCCAGTAGTAGTCATATTGCATCATGAGTTCATGACGGAAGAAGAATCCGGATTCATAGCGACACATGTGTCTGTAGCTCTCAGAATCTCCGTAAATGATATCTTTCTCTTTCATGATCTTTCTCGTTTCCGCAGCTTTTTTCTGATCAATCCAGCTAGGGTATGACCAATGCTCCTTTGGAATAAGTCCGTAGTGAGTTTTTCCAGAGACCAACCTGCTAGTAAACTTCTTAAATTCATCTGAAAATTCTGCATCGTTCAAGAACACCCAGTCGTAGTGATAGTCCTTGTTGAAGCGATCTTCTACCTGGCGAATGGATTTTGCAATTTCCCATAGATCAGAGTTTCGTGCCAGTGTGACGAACGTGGCATTCACCTTTTGGTAACCCGGAGCAGGAGCATTCCCAGTGGGTGGATTGGGAGTAACTGGGTTGGGGGTATCTTGTTTCGGGGGTTGTTGCGTGGGAGGCTGCTGGGGTGTGGATGGAGGAGTAGCGGGAGGAGCAGGCGCTTTATCCTCGCCAGCCGGAGACGAGACGGGCTGTTGACCACCAGACTTTGGATAAGATAGACCAAGATCACTTGCCTTGGGGATTGGCAGCGAGGAGGAAGTGATAAAATGTATGATACCAAGGCCCTATTTCACCGCCGTCAGAATCATCGACTAGCTTATGGCCTTGGTGTAGGAAAGCAAACCACGAGACTGACGTACCAGAATTGCAAAGAGGATGTACCGCAGGTACTTGCCCTGGGTTGCGTTCATCTTGACGACCGCAGGATATTTAACAGCGACGGAATGGCCTCTTCTGTCTCCTCTGCTGTGTATTATTTATAGGCAGACGAGTTCTTCGTACTACGAGCGGCGCTGAAGTACTGCGTGCCCCGGATCAAACGAGACGCATACAAAGAAGTGAAGTCGGCCAGCGAGAGAAAGCAAGGTGATGAGCAAAGCAGAGGCGGTGCAGAATTGAGAGAAGTGTTCATTCACATCGCTCGCGCTCCCTTCCGCAAGGTAAAAAAAGGCTGGCTTTTTTGTGGCTAAAATGAGAGCCGCGTGGAGAGTCGCAGGGTCGAGCTGGTCTAACCAAGATGCAAATCTTTGGGCGTTTCAAGCTAGAAAAAGAAACGGCGAGGCTTAGTCATCGGCCCCCCTTTTTGTAAGGTAAATGGTAATT